GATGGACATACTATTTGCATATATGTAACCCTGACGCTGGCAGGACTTTATTATGAAAATGTTTTGGACAGCATGTCTTTGTCAGTAAATTTCAATTTATTTAACTGGAGATAGCATGCCCAAACTGTATCCCCTTAATTTAGAATAGACACAAGAATAGTTTACAAACAGGAATGTTTACAAGCATCAAGATTTGGGTGTTGCAAAACATTACATGCAATGAAATGAAACAGGAGGAGGCATGCATCTATAATCTAGGCTAGCAATACATTCCACTCGACGAGCATCAATGATCAATCCCACTTTTATCGCAGCCTTTCGAGAAATATTCGCTTGAATTAAAACGCATAACCCTTCGTATTCACAGTCTACATTAAAACCGTGCGTGAGTCAAACGCAGGCAAATTCGATATTTTCTGGATAACATTTGCTCGATTTTGCCTAAATGCACATTCCACAGCTATGTTGACATGTGATTATATTTTACCATGTTACAATTACAAAACACTTTTATTCGTTCTTGAATAAACCACCAAATTTTACGCGAATTTGTAGCAAAAGCAAAAATTCTTTCACTCCTTTATACTCCCGCCTGTTCACAATACGATTTCGGAGGAGGCTAGGTTAGTTGCCTTCGCGAAGGGATTAAATTTATACCACGGGTGCGTGCATGAAATCAGACGGCCAAAGTTTACAGAAGTTTCTTTTCGTGGTTTCGCAAGCTAGAAGAAGGTTAGAAGTATGAGGATATTCTCATAAGCTTTCTCTCGAAAGGCCATCTTTTAGTTTTTACAAAAACTCAACGTAAAGCTATAGTAAATCGAACTTTTATAGACCCTAACGGTCGCCCATGCCGCTGACCAGTCAACTTTGCGCAAAAATTTCCAACTTAACGAAGCCTTTGCAAACAAACTAAAATAAATAAAACTCTCATTTAAAGTCATGTTCTTAACAATATAAAAAAGAAAAATGGCCTTTTAAAATTTTTCGAATTGCATTAAAAACTGCCACATCGGTTTGTATGAAAACAAGCCAGTCCAGTTCAGGGTTCGCTCGAATCCGAAGCCAGCTCCATTTTCGTGAACCTGGAGCAACGAGCTGAAGATCCTGTCATCCAGACTCTTGTTTTTTCACCACGGGAATCGAGGGCTCTGGGGTCTAAATTGGCCAGTTGTTAACTGTTCATTCGCCCAACCTCCCGTCCCCCATTTTTACCGTTGATCAGCTAGTTTTTACGACCAATTGGGTTAGCCGTTTTTTTTTCTTTCCTTTTCTAGGTCAGCACTGTCTTGTTGTTATTGGTTTTCGGCGTCCTACTCAGCATGTCATGCAGGCACGGGTCCCTTTTTTCAAGGTAAGTTTTCTTGTTCGTTTAAACCTTTAAATTTCTGTTTTAACTTGGGGGATGATGTAGTCGTGATTCTGTGCCCTTAATGTTCTTTGTTTCTTATCTGGCAAGAGTTCATAAAGACTATGTTCAGTATCTTTAATTATTTCTCTCTTCAATTAGCGAAGACATATTATCCGTGTATCCATATCGAGTAGCGCGTTTGAAAAATTGATCGATCCGTTTCAAGTATTTCTTCAGTAGTGCCCCGCCCCATAATTCGATTGCGTAAGTAAACAAGGATAGGATCAATGTCTGAAATAATTTAGTCAATTGATCACGAGAGTAACCATATAATTTGCATACTCTTAAGATATGCATTCGTCCACTAACTTTAGACAATAAACCGTCTACATGGATATCTCAACAACAAGGATCGTCTTAAAAGCTAACACCAAGGAGTGTGAGCCATTTCTTTCGTTCATCCCATCAATTGGGGGTGGTAACTGATATAATGATCTCTTACTTATGACCATTTCCCATGTCTTGGATAGATTCAGAATCATTCTGTTTTCATATGTCCAATCTCTGATGTTTTTAACCTCGTTAGAAGCGGTATCCCCAGAAATGGTAACCGGTACACTAACAGTCATGTCATCTGCGAATTTGACCAACATATTTTTATCTGTATCTTTTGGTTTTATATTGTTTATTTGTTTACCATCAGAGAAAACAGGAAAAGACCCAATACAGTATCTTGTGGCACACCTCTATTGATATGGACATTGTCGCGTTCTCAACACATCACGAGGTTGCTGATGCGTCAAGTTCGCATGTTTTAACCACTCAGTTGTGCACAACACTCCATTTTTAACATTGATTTATTCAACAAAGGCACACGTAAACAGAGCGGTAAAAACTATGAATAATACAAATAAATATGTAAATAAGAGCTAAAACTGCGACTAAAATTGTATTAAAAAAGGTGCGCAAATAATCATGACGTAACTTACTTCTGATATCGACGATAAACTTAAGCTATAAGGTAGAAACTTGTTAGACTTAAATCTAAATTAAACTTGCTGTATTTCTCGATCAAAGACAAAACGTGTTCGCAACGTTACTTTTTTCGTCCCGCGCGTCCGCAGAACTCTAACCAGCGACAGTAACCGCGGACTTTATTTAACTAAAAAATATAAACTTTAATAAACGTCACAGACATATTCCGCTTCAACTCCATCCACCACAACTCTCTGTTTTCGGTTTGATAAATTGATCATCCAGTCTATTATATATGGATTGAGATCAGTTGTTTCCAATTTTTTACAAACGATATCATGAGGAACGGTGTCGAATGCTTCACTTAGATCAAACGATATAACTCGAATTTGTTCGGCATCGTCCTCTAACCAGTTCAGTCAGTGTTGGCACTTTGAGCAGTTGTAATGTTTGTACCAACTTTATAGGCAAATTGGTCTTTATCTATTATCTTTTTAGCTTGAGGTGATATTTCTTGCTTGAAAACAATTTTTCAAAAGGCTAGGTGAAGTGTTCTTTAAAGCATTCTCCATCATCATTATTAAAAGTTAAAAGCCATGCATTATTGTTGAAAGTTAAATGGAAATTACTTTATATATGCGAATCACCATTTTGCAAATTTCTGTAAGATTTAATAATTGCTCGTGCTTGTACCTTTGCAATAAATGATACTATAAATAAGGTCTTAGATTTACAATTACACCTTTTGTTAATTAATTGTCAATCATAAGTAAATTCATGATATACTTAGTCTAAAGACTGCATGTTTTCCACTTACGCGTTTTTCATACGCACGTACACGAACGCGAAAGACTAAATCCTTGTACATGTTATCTTTGAAAAAACTAAGTGAATAAATCGAAGGAACTTAGTTTTCTGCATATTTTAGTATGCAATAGTTGACCTAGATGTTAAATAGTAAAAATTTAAAAGCATATAAAATTTTCCGTACGTGTACGTGCGTATAAAAAACGCGTAAGTGGAAAGCTGGCTTAAGTGATCATCACAGTAGGTAGCAAACATATACAGCTGATTCAATCAAGTTTGTGACAGGCAATAGGCAAATGTAAATTGTAAGCGCGAACAGTGTCATGGGTCCAGTGCATTTGACTAACTAATGCATCGACATATTTTGAATGGTGTCGTTAATGGACGCTAATTATTTTATTATGTTATCATTCGACAAAACAATGACACTATGCAAAAAACAGAGTACAAAAGACACATATGAAAAATGCGGTGATTTTGCAATTCCCAAAGGAACATGTGCATTTATCACAATAGTTTGTGGTTGCACTTTGCAGGCGAGCAAACAGTTAGATTGATAAATAGTGCATTTGGTGGATCTCCGTGTTAACGTTTCCTGTTGTTTGAAATTTGCCAACGTAGCGACGAACCGACATCTCTGATATTTGCAAGAAGAAAGCAGCCGCTTGTACAGATAGTCCACAAATATCAGTCAAAAAAATCGCTCTCCATCGCAGGTCTGCGCGCACTGTAAGCACGGGGCATTTTTACACTACGGTTGATTAGCAGATTTTGGTTATTTCTATAATACAAAACAACGTGTATTCCACGTTACCGCTATACAGTATAATAACAGCCTTAAGTTCATCCTCACACTATTCCCACGAGATGATTATATTTATACTCAACAATGCTTTTCCAATAATAACTTCATTCGTTGCATAATTATGCATAAAATGCCATCAATCCCTTCATATGCCTCTTGCGCGTGGAATATACATTGGGCTATTGCCTGTCACAAACTTAATTGAATCAGCTGTATACATAAACCGTTGAAGTTAAACAACTTTCTTTTGAACAACTGTCTCTTGTGTTACATACGTAATTTAGGAATAATTTATTATTCAAGATTAAAATTATGATCTTATTATCATAGTTATGATTACTTTTTTTTTAATTACTTTTATTTAATTACTTTAATTACTTATAATTACTTTTTTCTTTTAATTTAATTAGGCGAAAAACATTCTATCACGTTCTAGAAATTTGAAAAAGAACAGGAAAAAGTCATAGCCTTCGTTAATTTTGTTTCGTTAAGATCTGCTAAAAGTAAAAATAATATCTTACCAATATATCAATATTTGAAAACATCCAGCAACACATTTTCAATTTTGCGTACACCTATAAGCGAAAACATAGAGAAGGTACATTATTCATTTATTATTATTCTGCATTATTCATCCCTTTTGAAATTGAGGGCTTTAACGGTCGATGAACATGAATATATGTCTATTGGTAAGCTACTGTGTTCTTTTAACGTTAGCTGTGCATGCTGCATTTAGTTTTGCTTTTCTTACCATTGCTAACTAATTTCAACATGGTTGATATCCCATATGAAAACAACACCCCTTCTCTACCCTCCCCCAATCTATTACTTTATGTCTGTGTCTGTTGTATTAACTAATGTAAATAAAAATGTAATACAGACATCAGGAATGAGTTCAAATTTAGAATCAAAGCTTATTTAGTGTAATATATACCTATTTTATGTAATTTACCAAGTCTAATGTAACATGATAAAAGTGAGCATCGACCAGACCACCGAAATTAGGAAGATGGAAGGAGATAATATTGCGACTTACAAAAGAAAATCAACTAGTATCTATACTCACCATAATTTAAGCTTTTTTCCTCCTTCTCCTTTTTCCAGTTTATTTTCCAATGCTTTTAAAGTGACACTAAGAGGAGATGCTAGGCCCAAATCAACATTGATGCCTTCTGCAGCAAAGAACCCAAATATCATCCCCCAAGCACGACCTTGATTGTCAAACACCAAGGCTCCAGAATCACCCTTTTCACTAAAAGGTTTTCGACGACTTCGGATGGCTAAGCAATTATATGCCCAAAAAGTATGGACTTCATTTTCAATTTCATTCCTGCAATTAAAACAAAACTGCCTTTCCCTGAGGCAACTAAGATCAACAATGTTTAAATTGGGTACTGGTGTACAAGTGCTGCAGTAGAACTTGAATGGAACGTCAGACAAATTCGCGCTACAAGGCCATTGTTGAAAACTATCAAAAGTTAAACGGTTTGCGAAAAAGTTTAAAGTTTCAAGTTGACCATTATCCGTGTACCCTGTCGTCCGACCACTCTTTACAAATCGTAACTCATTTAAATCTTCATCACCAAAATTTTCCACATCAACAATTTCTCCTGTAGGGTTGAACCCCGTATGAATATTCTTTTCAAAACCAAACAAAGGGCATTGAATATTTTCAGGTTGTTCGTCTTTGTGGTCAATAAGTTCCTGAGCTTCTTCGTCATCCAGTTCGGCAATTGCTGCATCAACATAAAATTTGGCATTTGGTTTACTACGAAATGAGACCGTTACGTTTTGTTTTAAACCACTGCAGTATATTCCAATTTCTCTTGATTCTGATTCCAGGGCTTCCTCCATGTTATTTCGCAGAATTCCTAATCTTTCCCTGCTTTTTTCCACACGTCTTTCATAACGATCCCGTTCATCATCTGCAACTATGTGGAGTTTATTCTTTTGCTTTTGTAAACGTTCTTCGCATTCATTCATCTGAGCCCGAATCTCTGAAACCTTGTTTCGGTAATCCACTGTAGCAGGTTGTACAATTACTTTTCTTCGGTTGTCGCTGTTTACGCGGTTTGGACTAAGCACGTGCTGACATGAGAGGATATAGCGTTTGCCGTCCTCATCTTCTAAAAAAGCGCCGAGTGTGCCAACAGATGCTTCATCGCCTTCAACTCCAATTCCGACCCCGCCTCGCAGGGGAAATGTGCGTGATTTTGGATCGCCACATAGTTGAAAATATCCTTCAACAATATCGAAGGGATAACCATTCAGTTTAGTCATCTCTAAAATGTCAGTTTCCCCTGCTGGAATTTTACCTTTTCCTAAAACATACACGGTGACACAAGGAATATTTTTGACGATTGAACCTTCAACTTTGTACGAGGCTTGAACGGCTGTGACGTTTAATCTATTTTGAAAGACGTTGAGATTCTCTTCAATTACTTTTCCTAATTCCCTCAGCTTTTTATCGCATCTTTTTTCTTTTGCGGGAAGCTGAGTGACAATTTTACAAAGTGGCCGCTGCTGAAGGTCAACAAACTCAATTTCAAAATCATAAAAAAATTTCACCGAGGATTCTCGGAAATCTTCAGGAACTCCTTTTCCATCAGTATTCACGTATATATACATGGTTAAGGGACTTTTCTGCTGGGCAACTTCACATGGGATAACTCTGACGCAGCAAGGGTTTGCAGCCGTAAATCGCAAAGCCAATGATCGGGCTTTAACGACGCTCATGTTATAGTTCTATATATGAATAACACAAAAATTGTTATAATTTAAATCGAAGTAAAGATTTTCCCTTCAGTTTTAGTATGCAGTATAATAATCATTAAAGATGGCCATCAGAAAGCTGTTTTTCTACTTTATACCATGGTCAGTGGGGCAATCAAGGTAACATGGAAGCCCATATCATAATAACTATAATTGATAGATAAGTAGATATAGATATAGATAAATAGTTTAATTAAAAGTTGTCTTTCCGTATGGCAACTCCAGTAAACCACTAACGCTATTTTGCTTTTTACCCTTGATATACTATATTTCCTAGATATTTACCTCTCTCTCTTGTTTCTTGAACCCAACGTCTGCAATATATATAATAGTACGGGACACTCATTAGTCACAGCAGTGACTCGCATGCCTGCCAACATAACGTGACGTGTCGTCATAAAAATAATAAAGGGAATTAAGAGTGACGAAATTTGTGTCGCCCGCACGACCCCTGCATAGGGAGATAATGCGTTATTTCCACATGCGGCGCACTTGGATATGCGACATTTAGACTATTTATCTATTTGAAATTATGCTTTTTATGAGTTATTTCTTTTGGCATATAACAAAAAACTCTCTAATGTCTTATATCTAAAGCATTTAACGATGAGTTCGAACAATCGGTTAACAAATATATAGTTTTGTTTCTGTTTTTCTGTGCTTAAAACCAGTGCATGCTGTAGAACAAAATTACCAGAAAGAGGGATTCTCTAAAACGTAGATGGAGCCGTGAGACGTCATTATGTGACGCCATAGATATTCAAAACTCGTCACTGAGATGACTCGTATAGAAGCATAAAAAAGATATCGACTCGTATGGATCATAACTCGAATTAAGTTTTTTAGTGTAAAATATTATTTGGATAGCTGCGCCTGGGTCAACCAAAATAGCTCCACAAGACTCGCACTGAAAACTTGAATGTAACCATAGGCAGCCCAGACATGTTTTCGTTCTCGTGGCGCTCGCGCGTGTACACGAGTCTCTTGGTCTATTATTATGACAAGGTTGGCAAGCTTTTTTACTAAAATATACTACAACGTTTGCTACGACCTGAATATCTTGCAAATTACAAATAATTACATCGATTTAAACGCCGGTAATTTGTCTACATTCTCCCGAAGTTTTAACTTCAAACGATAATTTCAAGGATGCTAAAAAAGCAAATGTGTATCGATATTTTGACAAAATTTTGTCAAGACTATGCTAGTGGCACCAACCCTGTGGTGTCGTCATCATTTTGAATTGCAAACAGAAAACTGATTGGCTCTTGCGTGCGAAATTTCCAACTGAAAAAACGACAGCTAATCAGTTTCTTGTTTGCAAATCTAAATGATGACGACACCACAGGGTTGGTGCCACCAGCATAGTCTTGACAAAATTTTGTCAAAATATCGATACACATTTGCTTTTTTAGCATCCTTAGAATTAACGTTTGAAGTTAAAACTTCGGGAGAATGTAGTCAAATTACCGGCGTTTAAACCGCCGATGTAATTTTTATATTATTTTTATTTGTAATTTGCAAGATATTCAGGCCGTAGCAAACGTTGTAGTATATTTTAGTAAAAAAACTTGCCAACCTTGTCATAATAATAGACCAAGTAGACTCGTGTACACGCGCGAGCGCCACGAGAACGAAAACATGTCTGGGCTTCCTATATGATCTAACTATTAAGATGAACATAGGAGCATAAAAAGATATCGATTTATGACGGTTGTCATTTTGATTCCACTTAACAAAAAAGTAGCCAAGTTTTCTTTCATATTTTTCTTAATAAATTGTGGAAAATTTTTTTCAATGCAAAAATTTACGAGCATATTATTAGTAAACGCAATCGTAATAAGTCTAAACATCGCAGCCCAAACTGTTGACCGTTATGTATATTTTTTGCTTGGATTAGGATTTCTTACCATCTAAGCTTTCAGTTGAAACAAATTGATTATCGCTCTGAAATGAGCACAAGCCAGATTCCATTTTATTGTCTTCAATCGTTGCCCAACACATCATTTCGGTACTAGTACAAGCTCTACCAAAATTGCCATGTTGATCAATCGCGATGACGCAGGCAACGTCATCCACTTGATCTTTCATCTGCTTTAAAGCCTTTTGTGTGGAAACCTGTTGCGAAAAATGCCTGCTTTGAACGATTATATATTCCAATTATATCAGTACTAGCGCTTGTGAGGAGAAGTAGCACTTATATATTTACGTGCAAATTGTCAAGAGTTGTTCTCGCTATATCTAACAAACCTGAGCACTTTGTCCGTTTTCCATAATGTGCACGACTTGTCTTGCTAAAGTCATTTTCGCAATTGATTCTCCAGATGCGGTTGCTGCTCCGTGTTTATTTGCATAACCACCAGAGCCAAATATCGCTTCATTACCGACCTGCCCTTTTCTTTTTCCTTGTATACCACCTAAGATGTCAAACATCCTAGTTGTAATCAACCATACGAATTAAGATTTTAGAGGCATTTCTACTGCACAGCCTGTCAATAAGTTGCAGAATATTTTTCAACATGCTTGTTCCAAGATAGTTAAATTTTTTATCAGTGCTGACATTGGATGCCGACGATTTAAACCTCATATAGACGAGCAAGTTTTCCTGGACGAGTATCATGCAAGGTCAAGAGTGAAACTAGAACGATAATTGCGCGGTGTTTATTTTCAAGTTCTGCCCAACTGATTTCTTTTGTAAGTACAATAGCTAGCTTACAAAGGAAATTTGTCGGAAAGAACTGAGTTAAACAGCCCACCATGCAATTATCGTTCTAGTTTCGGTTCTGAGCAAGGTTTTCAAAATAAGTTGCAAGGAATGTTAGGGCTACACATGCGCCATAAAAACTTCGCAGGAAAAGATTCTCAATGAAAACATGCTCGTCGGTACAAAGCAAACGGCCTATGAACGCATTTTTACTAGGAGTTTTTTACTTAGCAATCTCTTAGCTTCGAGCTATGAATACCTGTTGACAACGCGCATGCAAAATGACCATTGGTGTCTCTTGCAACAGCTGAAACAGTCTCACTGTGTTTCCTGTCTGTCCACCCCTTATAACTCTTGCGTACATATTCAGGGCGTTTCAAATTCGGAGTTTTCAGGAATTCTGAACTGTCTGTCCATTCGTCATACTGAAACGGGTATCCATTTTCTTTAGCGAATTTAAAAGCGCCCTCGCCACTCAAGGCACAGTGACGTGATTCTTTCATGATTAATTTGGCAAATGAAACAGGATGGCGGAAGTAGCGCCCAGATATCAATGCTCCTATAGAAATTGAAAATCAGGGATGCAAGCAAGCAGAATGCTTAAATTTTCAATACTTTAAGTGAAATAGTGAAGTCAAAATTTATTTATTCTGATTGGCTCGCTGAAAATGTAAACAAACTCGCTTATTGTTCTAAAACAAAATTTTTCCCTTTAGGGATTCACAGTATATAGGGGACCTTGCACTGGTTAGATGGCAACTTGGCATGGCATGGAAAATAGAGCAATATTCTTTGTTTGCATGTCCTGGATCAAAACAACTATACTATAATTCTTTGCAGTTTAATGGTTTAATGGTTTATAATAATGGTGTTTATCAATTTTATATCCCAACTATACTGTGGTAAAGTACTAAATGGAAGGCAATAATAAAAAGGATCAATCAATCATATTTTTATATCTGTAATTTCAATAAAAGATAACCCCTCGCCCCGATCCAGCAAGGAAATCACGCAACATGCGGATCACACGTGGGCCTTCGGAAACTGTCGGATTATGTCGTAGATATACGTGGACTCCACCCGTAAACATTGTTAGCATATTAGTCATGACGATGGATAAACTATAAGTCGGATTGATATCCTAAACAGTTATTAGAATATCTTTTTGCCTTTACAAGCAGTGACGTTGAAACAAGAACAACAACATGTGGGAGATGATCACATGACACCTACGTCATGTTCTATTATGCAATATGTTTATGACTTAACAAACATAATAATGCGTGGGCGTGTATAAGGCATAGTGTGTACAATAATGACATATTTGTTCAACAAGAATTTACTGAAATTACACAAATGCCAAAATTACACGCATGTGGAGTAGTGTAAGAACATGTATTAGCAATCACGCCACCAGCATGCCTGCAACGTTTACTTATCACACATTAAGGTGACCTAGTACTGAAGCATTCTGATAAAAAGAAAGCTTACTTGAATGTTATGCCTAGCCTTCATAATTTTAAATGTACAATCATTCGATTCACGATCAGAATGGGCCCTGTAAGAATTCCAAAATACCCAGTACTTTTGCTTTACGGAATTATTGTATTAATTTTCATGCAAATTCGTTACAATATACAGTACACATACAAGAGATTGTAATATATAGCCGTCAGTTCGACGTTTAATTTGACACTTCAAATTTTGGTTATTAAAAGAAGATGATGCCATGCATCAGGCGTGGTAAACTTACAGTTCTTACAGGGAGTGAGCCACATGTCCAGAGTTATAACATCTCATTCAATCAAATTGTCACATTATCACATTATCATCACTGTCAATGCACTAAAATAAGTTTGTCCCAAATCCTTAAGGTGTGATAAGGAAACCTTGCAGGCATGCTGGCCGCGTGATCATTAATACATGTTCTTACACTTTTGACATGCGTGTACTGATTTTAGCATTTGTGTAATTTAAGTAAATTTTTGCTGAACAAACGTGTCATCAAGCGTATTTACGCTCATTATTATACACTGTATGCTCTATACCTTACATGCCCACACATTATTCTGTTCATACGTGGAGTCCACGCATATCTACAATATAATCCGACAGTTTCCGACTTTACGCGTGGGATCCACACGGTGTGTGATTTCCTCGTTTGATGGGGGGGGGGGGTTACCCCTCACAATACGGAGTGTCTCAGATAAGGCCCATACAATGAACAATATTCATTCCTCATTCAGCAATATCCATTCTGTCAGTGAAATTCAAAGGCGTGTGGATTGCATTTGAATAAATTAATTTAAATCAAGATTTAAGTTTTTACACATAATGATGTAAATTAGAATCATTGGCTTTAAAAATGATGAATTATTTAGATTATTCAATTGCCTATATAATATATAAGACACCGAAATGTCGGTCATACCAGTCCTGTCTACATGTATAGCCAACAGGTGCCAGTTGTTCAAAAGACGACTTAACCCAGATTTGACGGAAATCATTACATCAACTTTTTTAATCGCTTGTTCATACTGAAAGTTGGTTATTTTTTCCATGAGTATTTTCTGGTAGAATGGAAGTCATGTTTTGTAAAGTTTTGAAAAGAGTTGCAGCGCAGCAGATACTAAACTAAAACATCGGATTAAATTTTAACCCATGCTGCGTTAGCGATAACCTATAGCTTTGAACAACCGGCCCTATAAATGTAAGTCGAAGCCGGCCTAGTAGCGTAACTATACCATGATCTAACGTGTTCCCATCCATGATCATAGCGTCGCATTCAACTTCACCATTCTCCAATAATGATAATCCGTAATCAGTATTAAAATATTTGCTATCTTCCATGACTCGAACTGCGTCCTCTACGGCGTCAACCGCGGTGCGGCCATCCTGTGAGGGATATTAGCATATATTAGCGATGTGAGTATTTGGTCGGTTTTCCACTAGCGATGATATTCGCGCGAAGCGATTTTTTACCTTTGTAAAAAAAAGAGTAAAGTCGCTTCGCGCAAAAATATCGCTGTTGGAAAAACGGCTTTAATGGTGATGAATGTTTAGACCGCTTCAAAGCGTCCTTTCACATGTACACAGCTCACACCGCCGCCTGATGCTGACTGAAAACAGGAAAAATTGTACACAAAGCTATATTATTTTGCCAAGATATATATAATGCCAAGAATAAGAGAATGCAACTAAATTTAAAAAGTGCAAACAAATGATAATCGACCATCTTCGACAAAAAACAGTAATCCCCTATTTAAAGGTGGACGAAATATTCCGAAATATGGACTGATATTATACCCTCTTCCAGGACATAGCATGGAGCAAATCTGCTGATCTGATATCGTAGTTAGCCCCTGTTTTAATTTTTGCCGCCCTATTTTGCAATTTCTGCAATTTGTCTATAAACATTCTTCCACAGTTTTCCCATAATATAGGGAACAGTAATCGAAATACGGAAGCACAAGGGAATTCTACAAATTCTACACAATTTGTAGAATTCCCTTGTGCTTCCGTATTTCGATTACTGTTCCCTATATTATGGGAAAACTGTGGAAGCATGTTTATGTTTAAGTGTTACAAACAGTTTAACTCTTTCAATGACTCCAATACCGGATGCAATTTTTTTGCGTATTGAGTCTATATGCTTTTTCAATGAAAAAACTGGAAGCAAGAACTCCACAAATTTTTGCGTCATTTTCGTGCAAACTCCACATATGTCCACACGATTTAATATTCGGTCGTACATCTCAAACGAGACTACTCAAATTGCGCCTTCCACGAAAGAAACCGAAATCAAACTCGCAGCAAGACAAAACGACAACCCAGCCAAGGCCAGCATCAAGCAATACGCGGATGCAAGGAAACATGCAACACCCTGCGACCTTAAAGTTGGTGACAGAGTGTCAAGAATGAGAAGAGACAGAGTAAACTAGCTCCTATGATTACTGCTGAGGCAAACGACAAGCAAATCACCCTGAACACATCTTGTTTTAAGAAGGCTCTCGAGCTGGCTCCGTGAAAGGAAGGAAAACCAACAAAAGCTGACGGAAGGTCTTCGAAAAGTTGTAACGGACAAAGATAGTAAGCCGTCACAAAGCGAGCCTGTGTTCCCAAGTGGTAAATCTAATACAGTCGCTTCGAGAGCAGCGTCAAGTGAAGAAGTAAATGTCCGAGAGTCCCAATCGCGTCCTACACGTACTCGGAGAGAACCAGCTCGTTAAAAGGACTTCGTATGATATTGACAATTAGTACGAAACAGTTACTTATATGGTAAGTATGTAAATAATAGTAGCACTATACAAAATTATTAAAATGACTGAAGCCTGGATCAAGCGATTCAAACTGGGATGCTTCACACTCACAAGGTTTGTATAGTGTAGTCAGGAGCGGATTCAGACCGTAGAAACCGTAGCATATGCTACGGTCAGATTTTACCGACATATTTTTCCCAGGGTGTACCTTTGGAAAGCGAAATAATTGCTAATAATTTCATGTTTGAAATTTACAAAATTACCCGGTAACCTGGTATATTAAAAAATTTTACTTTATTTTGGATGATTAAATTCGGGTTTTTATCAAATTTCTGCCCGAAAATAGTATTATGCTATATCACATCGTTCTGAAGTCGAAGCAAGCACTGCAAACTGTAGCATTTGCCTCATGTTGCCTCAAATGTTTTATACACAATAGAGCTTTAATGCAGTTAATAGGAGTTTATGTATCATTAAATCAAAGCAATAATTAGAAACTTTACACACTCAGTTTAATTATAGGTTTTTCAAGATTTTTACTAATGCATATTCGGTTTGGTGGGCAGTAGCAAAAGTAAAACACATTGCAGTATCCTTGGATCCCTGGTTTGTAAGTGTTGTCTTGTGGGAAATAAACAAAATTGAGAATTTTGATAAAAACTTACCATCAGAACCGCATATCCTCGTTTCGCTGCTTTTCGAATTATTTGCATATGTTCGTCACTATGGTTGATACCACCTTGAACGATAATCATCTCTGATCACTGAATTAAAGAAAGGAGATCAACAACTTAAAAAACCTCAGGCAATTAACTGCAATTATATGGTACCTCAGCCTAACTCGGTCTGACAGACATTTCGTGAGGTTTTTCCGATTTGGTTATTGTGTTACCCTTCTCAGCTGTTCATAACATTTTTTTCGGAAGCGAACGGCCACTGCGAAGGTATTTTTTCCCTTACGGTCGTCTGCGATTTTTATCGGTCGACCGCAACCGAACCGCGACCGCTGTGTTAGGTTGAATAAATTACTACGACTCTGGGTCATTTATACTATAATTATAGCATAAGTTCTGTTGGGATGCGATAATAAATTAATTCAACTAATATTTGCACTAAACTGAAAGCTACGAATCGAATATTGTTAATATTGCGATGGTTGTACTCGGAGTTACCAACCCGACAACCTGAAAATTTAGCTAGATCACGGGGCCGTTGGGAATCAAACACGCGACCTTTGATTTCCTAGTTCAATACTCTTCCGACTGAACTACTATTCGAATACCGTAAATGATCGATTAAGCGCCGCGGCGCTTATTGCAAATATCGACTTAATGACGCGGCGCTTATTTGGCAGCGGCGCTTATTTGGCAGCGGCGCTTATTTCAAAGTGAGCAAAGATATTATTTTCTGAAGGCCAATTAATCGAATAAACTTTTGGTAGAGGTTACAGGAAAAAGAAAGCGCGAAGTTGGGCGGGTGATTCCCGCTAAGTTCACAGCATACACGGCGAATCGACGACATGCCCAAGTGTTAGACACGGAGTTAATAGGAAGAAGGAAAATTTTAAACTATCAGAACTGTCATATGAGCCCGGTTGTAAGAGATATTCGACAATAAAACTTTTAAGTTTCAATACTGGCCGTCGTTCTCAATAGTTTAAATGTTAGGACTAGAAATACATGCATGCAGCAACCCCTCGCTATTTCAAACCAAGTACACAATTTCCTGAGTTAACCTAAACTAAACTTATATTATGAAATGACACAAAACTCAAATCAGTCTTATTATATTTTACCGAGTATATTATAGCTAATGTTTCCATCATTAAATACAAAAATAATCATAAAGCTAGTTAAAGGTAATTGCCCGTTCAATTTTGCTGCATTATACCATGCCAGCAATTAAGTAACGGTTTAAAATCGAAGTTTCGAACGATTAAAACAGTACAAAATCTTCACAGACAAAGAAAAAACTTCAAATGTTATTTTATTCTGTATTTTGCAGTCGACGCCGGCGGCTAAAAGTTTTATACTTTATAAATATGGTGTGTATTTTTGTACCAAAATTCAAATTACACTTTCAAAAACACTTTTTGAAGTTAAAGCAAAAGTGTAAGAGCCTTTCACAGGTTTATGCGTTTGCATAAAAAGCTGAAAATTTAACAAATAAACGGCATACAAAGCTGAAAAGAATACAAATACGGCTCAATCTTGTCGCGAAACAAATACGAAATAAACAAAGTAAACACTTTGAAAACATTTATAAGTTTGCAGATTATGAATTATTCCTCTTACACGGCTTTGTCTTGTATCCACGTTCATCTTTGCTAACTGTCATGCTTCATATATCTTGTTTCTTTTCGTTTTACTTCCTTTGCACAAAGTTTATGAAACGCTTTTACAAAAATGTTTACGAAATGACAGTTAATATAAATTGCTGACGTTCTCATTGAAATACAAACTTTCTGTCTTAGCCAATCAGAATGTTCGTTGATTACCAGACGTTACTCGCGCATGCGCAAAACTTAAAAAACCAATCAACGTCGACCGTCCATGACAAAGAATTTGGACAACTTTGGATTCGCCTATGTTCTACCGGGTTCCGGGTGTAATTCCTAATCTCCGAGCGGAATTAGTACCCTCGCAGGCGCTCCGCGCCCGCTCGGGGATTAACGGGTTTAAATAAAGAATCGTTTATTTCTACATTTTTTAGCGTTTATTTTATTTATTTATTAACATTGCCAGGTACAAACAAATTAACATAAGTAAACGACACAAACAACTCGCAGGGAAACGCAACAGCTTACACCAATTACTGCGCTCCCGTTATTTATCTTCCTAAATAGGCGCCGCGGCGCTTATTCAACAGCGGCGCTTATTAATTTTTTTTATCGAGGTGCGGCGCTCATTCGACAGCGGCGCTTATTAATTTTTTATCGAGGTGCGGCGCTTATTCAACAGCGGCGCTTATTCGAGTAGCGGCGCTTAATCGATCATTTCGGAATATTTCGGAACGCAATCAATAGTTTTTAAGCTTGCCCGGTTGGTAACTCAGAGAAGAATTTCATACACCTGAGTCATATTATCGTATTTTTGGACCAGGAACTGGTCCCTAACCGCTGCTAATCTTGTTGTTGTTGTTGTTGTTGTTGCTGTTGTTGTTGTTGTTGTTAGGGGGCGACGCTCTTTAAAAAAATAGGTACGCAATGCGTACATGTGGGTAGCCTGTAAAACATGATTAACTGCAATATTTTTAGTCTTATGTTCTAATGCCATAGACAACGGAATAAACGCGCTATAGTTAGCTGGTTGAATACAGTTATAACGAAGTCGATTTATTACACAATCTATATATTATAATATTTTATTGTATTAAATACATTTTACGACAGATCAAAACATATATAAAAGCATTTTTACAAGAGATAGGAAATGAAATTTTTTAAGCAGAATAGGTGAACAGAAGAAAAAAGAGAGTAAGGTTCCGGATGGTGGCACACATCGTCTGATAACATAAAGCTTAGTTTAGAAGGAGAAAAAGAAGGTTTCAGACTTCTTCAAATTATTTCGTTTTGATGTCCCTTGATTATCAGCATGTCTTTGTTACATACAAGATTGGTTCTTTTGTTGATAAATCAATGTTATAGTTATGTTAATAGTCAATAAAGGTTAAACGTTATTGTTCCAGTAAGATTATACCACTTGTTTGCCAAAGTTTATTGACAATACGTTTCACGATTATAACTGAAGATGATAGTATGATTTCATTGATCCAGTAGGAAGGTACAGGTGGTTTGCAATGTTGATTACAGATAACTTATCAGCACCAATTAGCTGGACATAATAGCACCAGTTCGTAGGTCCAAAAACTGCGTGGCTTTTTCAAGTTTAAATTTATCAGTTGACAATATCTTATCCCTGTGGTAATCAGTCCGACAATCAGTCAACATTGAATGCCATCAATCATCATTGATATAATGTGTATTGCTCAGTAGTAGTTACCATGAAGGTATGAGTAGCATTTACCAGTAGGTTACCAGAGAACTTTGTTCTTGTTTGGCATTCGTTGCTGCGATGAACAGATTACAGTTGCGGTATGTGGAGAGAAGATGTCTGGAAAGAGGAACGAGGATTTCCGATATATGTGTTGTGGTCTTTTTATCTTCGGATTAATTTAGCGTTGATCCACGCGGTTGGCAACAAGCAACGCTGACATTTTTAAAAATTCTTTGTGATTGTAGCTGATTGAGACCTGTAAAAAGCAAAAACTCGCGTTATCAAAGAAACAAACGCATATGTATAGCTAGTATGCAATACGAATCTATTATTTACCTTTAAATTATTAGTGTTTCAGCTTCGACATCGTGTGAATAATTTGAAAATATGCCACCGGAACCTAAAAATAAAGGGAAATGGTCAAATTGCATGAGAAAAGAAAATGAAAAAAAACTCAAAATTAAATGCTTACCTTTTGTTAAATTGGAGCCAGGCCAATAAATATTGGCCTGTGTTCATCTAACCATGTCAATACTATGGTTGTTCTTGTAACATGCTAACGCTATAGTCGGACGTGATTACCTCCTTACCTGGGTTCATCTTACCATGTCAATACTATGGTTTTTCTTGTAACATGCTAACGCTATGTCTGGATGTGATTACCTCCTTACCTTTAGAGAGGCCCAAATTGCTTTGTGATCACTAAAGTAAGTTTCAAGAGTACCTGCCTGGATATCCTCTTCAATCAAATTCGTATACAGATGATCAATCAATGTTCCATTATCTGTTGTAGAACTAGTTATAAGTTGCTCGAGGCCATTGGTATTGATCATAAGATTGTACAGTGATCTTCGTTCTATCTCATCAAGCCAGTTGACATTAAAGTCTCCAATGATTATAACCTGTGGAGAAGGATGTTCCTCCAATGTCGTAGAAATGGCAGCCAAAAGAGATGATAATGCAAGTGTTGGAGATCTGTATATTCCAATTACAATTAGGTCTGGACGTTCGACCATCTTCATAATAGTTACCTCGATCCCATGACAGTTTCTTGCACAAGGATATCCAATAATCATAGGAAGTTTAGAATAAACAGCTGTTCCATGATATGGACGGTTGAGATTTGAAACGTCGTCATTTCTGAATAACTCATGGCCTTCAATTGCGTACATTTCACCAGGATCTTCTTCACGAAATCTCGTTTCGGTAAAAATTAGGATATCAGCAGACGTATAATTAATATCTTTTCGTATATCTTCAATGTGTTTGTGCAAAGATCTTGCATTAAGATAGCAAATTTTTAAATCAGTGGGATTCAGCATGTACAACGGAGTGAAACAAAGATCTAATTTATACTCATTTCTCAGTAAGTGCATTTCTTCTACAACTTTAGGATCAACGGAAATCTTACTTTCGCAAAGATCAGTTATATATAGCCCTTCGATTGTTGTTACTCGGCTTAGAGCGACGTAATGAATATGAGGAATTGCTCTTCTTGTATTTAAATTAACGACGATTGTGACTGAGTATCACCTTGTGATCGATGAACCGTTTTCGCGGCAGCTGGCCTCAAAGGAAATTGCTTTCTTACCACTTGAGCAGACTTCGTTTTACCTACAGCAAATTGCGTTGTAACAGGTTTTATTGGTGTCCAAGTACTTAGTATAGATGTACTTCGAGCATAGAGAATTCTATTTTCTTGTCGGGTTTTCTTTCCAACATCTTCGTCGTCAAACTGAACCCAAACGATGCCAGAAGGTTTAGTATTA